GCAAAGAAAATATTAATTACCTTAATTCATATGTCATAAAAAATGAGAAAAACACTTTTATTAGCACACAGTGGAAAATAAAACTTCATTTATGTTTATCTTTTTCTTTTTAAATTTTTTAATTGCCTGAGCACAGACAATTTAAAAATAAGAAGCAAAATAGCATAAGACAAAAGCAGACAAAGAAAGAAGAAACTGAGGAACAGGCTCCGAAAATTTTTTTAAAAGCCTATTTTAACAGGTAAACTTTAAAATTCTAGGATATAAAAGAGACTTGATTAAATGGAAAAACACATCTTGTCCTTGGACAAGACTGTATAATATGAGCTTCCTCATTCTCTGTAAATGAATCTATAACTTCAAACAAAACTCAATCAAAATATCCATGGGCTTTGGGGAGGGGGCCTGGAAAAAACTGATCTTGTATTGCATCTGGAAAAATAAATAGGTGAAAACCCAAACCTGGTAAAAACAAGTTTTATAATAAACTATTTTTACCAGATAATAAAATATGGGAAATTTGGTTTAAAAGATTTATACTGACACAAGAATAACACTTCCGAACCAAACAGTCCAGAACTAGGCCCAAACACACAAGGGAATGTATTATATAGTAACGATAGCAACTAATTACATTGGATATTAAATATAGCATAAATGATGTTGAAACAACTGGTTTTGTTGAGAGAAAAAAGTGGTATGGCTACCTCAATTTTTTCATCAAAATTATCCCAGAAAGATGAAAGCTTTAAATGAACCCATGAAGAGTACTGTGAGAAAACGAGCAATTGAAAAATGATCTTGCTGTGGAAAGGTCTAAGCCAAATATCCAAAATTCATAATGCGAGAAATAAAAGACAAATTTGACTATTGTATATTAAAACTCTTCTGGAGAAAAAAGACTGAAAAATTCAAAAGGGAAAATATTTCAACAGATGCAACATTTTCCTTAATTCAAAGATAGTGCTTACAATTACTAATCAATTAGAAAAAGATGCTCTTAATCTAATTGCCAATCATAAATTGAGTAAATGAATTATGGTATATCCATTTAATATGTTTAAAAGAATGGCATTTACATGCACTAATACAGAAAGGGTTCCAAACATTAAATGAGAAGCACAAGAGATAGAATAGTAGTTACCAGGTTAATAAAGAGATATTTCTTTTTCATGTAAAGTGTGGTTACCTTTAAACACAGAATTAATTTTCATACTTTTCATTATATTTTCCAAATTTTCTATAATGAACATATTTTATAATCAGATGTAATAAAATAATAAAGTGATAATTTTCAGTGAAGCATAGTGCAAAGGAAATATTAATTACCTTAATTCATGTCATAAAAAATGAGAAAAACACTTTTATTAGCACCACAGTGGAAAATAAAACTTCATTTATGTTTATCTTTTTCTTTTTAAATCCGTGTCACTCAAAATTCAAAAACAGTCTAAGAGACTTGATATTAATGAGTACTTGAAATTCTTAACTATGCTCCTTTAGTCAAGTGACCAATTTTTATAATGTACCACACCTGGTACAAGCTTACTTAAACTCTTCCTACTTCTGAGCTGGAAGCAAAATACACACTTGGATTGGCTCTTCAAATGTTTTTTCCTCCACGTAAATATTAGATTCAATGAAGAGTTCTGATAATTTTCCCAGTTACTCTCTAAAGCTATATGACAAAATGACATCATAAGGACAAAACTACACAGCAATGAACAAAGATGCTTTAGAGAATTTGCTGTGTTTTGCATCTCTTGAAATATACTTCTAAATGCCATGTTTTAATACTTAAATATTTCATTTTTTAAATTAAAAAAATACATATCCTATAAAAAACACAAAACAAAATTTGAAGTAATGCATAAGTGTGAAGTTATTATACTGCAGATTGTTCGAATACACTTCATAAAGCGAGGGTTTATATTTTTTCCAAAAGCCTGCAATTCCTTTTCAAATTAGGTCTCTATCTTATTACGTGTCCTCTGAAGCATTCTGAGAGCAATGGCACCGGTATCCCTAGACCCCCACAGAACTGGGCGCTTGCATCATTTGATCATCTGTATTGTCACTTTCTTCACTTAGCTTGACATTATCTACCATTACCTCTTCAGCAGCTCCTGTTGCTTCTTAGGAATGAAAGCCTATTACCATCAAAGTTGGCCATGTTAAAGGAAAAGAGCAAACTTTTAGAGTGACTACCACGGACGCTCATTGCCCGATCCACACAAACGAGGAAGTGGCGAAGACATCAGTGGAGGTGGATACGACCTTCTCCATTGGGTTGAGGGCAGAGAAGGGGGCAACCGGCCTCTGCCTGAATCACAGCAAAAGGATACAGCACACCCAAAAGGTGAGGAAAAAGACCCTATGAAAGCTCTTCATACCCCACGGCCCCCTGCACTTTAGCTTCATTTCCAGTGGGCTCCTCCTTCTCACATCATTTACTGGCTGAGCAAGTGTGACGGACAAATCACAGCCCATTGAATGTGCAAAGCCCAAAAGGTTTCCCGGCTCTATCCACTTCCACTAGCCAAGGGGATTGAAGCCCCTAACACAGACCGCTTGCATTTCGGGAATCTTTACTGATGAAAAAAATCCTTGACACCTGCTTCCCCTCCCCCAGGCTTAATCTGGAAAGGTAAAAATACCAATAAGCTGACTTTCCAATTAGCTTCTTACACCCACCCAATTTGAATTCACCTTTCTATTTGAGCCATGAACTTGTAGTAAAACCTAATCAAGAGACGGACTGGGAGATAATACACCAATCTACCTACAGAGCTTATCTTACTGAGCTTCTGAATGATTTTTATTTTCTGCATTTCTGCTTCTATTTTGCAAATATTCTTTAATAGCACACGTTCCTTTAATATTGGAAAATACAGAGCGGGAATGGGCTAAAATAAATACTTCTGTAAGTGTTTTAAGATGCAATAAAGTTGTTGCATTCCATATAGAAGTTTTATGAGCTCTGCTGTGAGGTCTGGTAAGCACAGTATACATCTGATTTAGGAACCTCTGTAGCAGTGAGCCAGGTACAGCATATTTATTATAGTCTTCATTTTGACCCTGGCATATAAGTAAATCTGCTGCCATACCCACTTTTGATGGATGCAAAAATTTCAGAAATAAAAGAAAAAGCACTCTCAAAATTGCAGTGGTATCACTAAAAACAATCATTTGTTTCCTGATTTTGTATAAATCATAATCTAAACATCCAAACATATGTGACTGGTTAAATATAGTATGTCATGGGTTGTAACATTTTTATATTTATTGACAAAGAGCTACTATTGTTAAGCAGTGATAAAAGCAAGATGCTAAACTACTATGGTGGGATTTGGGAAAATTATTACTTAATTTTACTGCCTAGAGGCCCAGAAATTTCCAAATCCTGTCTTCCTCCTACCACATCTCTTTCCTGTAAGGTCTTGAAGGAAAATATATGTTGACAGGAGAATGGCAAATGTGAAATAAGATACCACTTAATTATCTGTTGTGCTTGTGCCCAGTGCAAAAAACCTGAGTTTAAGGGCCCTCCTGTTCACACTAAGATTTCAAACCAAAATCTTAGCATCTAATTACCTTGTAACCAGCTACATGATGCAGAAGTGGTAAGAGGACAGTATAACCTGTAAGGAAAAAAACAGTTGCACTTGGAAGTGTGACCTCCTCCGAGTCCAGGTGGATCATGGGCCAGGGTCATTTACCATCCGGCTCTTGGAAGTGAACATGACAGGTTATATAGAGGTTCTTTTTGGATGAGGCACTCCTGCTCTCCCCCTCCCCTTCTTCTGATCCCCACCCTCTCCCATCCTTTCCATTCTTCACCTTCCTCCCCTCCTCCTCCTCTCCCTTCCCTCCTCTTCTCTCCTTTCCCTTCCTCCTCTCCAGCTCTCTTCTCCTTCCACCCTCCTCCCATTTCTTCCTTCGTACCCTACTCACCTCCCTCTCCACTTTTCTTCCATCTTCCTCCATTTTCCCTCCCTCTCCCATCTTCCCTTCCCTCCCTCGTCTTCTCCCCTTCCCAGTCCCATATCTCTCTAATCACCTGAATATGTGTCCTCCAAAGAAGAGCTAAGATCTGGAGAATATAGCAGAATGTTAAAAAAGTAATATTTTTTAAAATTCCCTTTCCTCGGTGTTTTCTACTTTTTCTATAATAAGCACTATTTTTTATAATTAGGAGAAAATGCTAGATTTTTATAGTATGATACACTTTATTTGACATTTATTTAGTTTAAGTTGCAATTGAAATACATGGAAAAATATTAAATGATGAAAACCTAAGTAGAACATAGTACAAAAAATATGGTAACTTTAGATTACAATTACACAGTATAAGATGAGAAAACTTTTTTTAAAATACTGTCATAGTAATATCTCAGTGCTAAACAATAGCTTCATTATGATTACATTTAAAGACCACTGTCACATAAATGAGCTCAGTAATATCATATATGGTATTGATGGACATTTTTAAATGTATGTTAATCTTTTTTCAAGCAGCCAAATTTCACAATGCATTGTTCTAGTTAACACTAGTACTGTATTTCCAGAGCAAAGTAACAAAGGCACAGGTAGTACAAGCAGATTTAAATCCCTAGTCTTCTGGGCTGGAAAAAAGAAATACTTGCATTGGTACTTCAGGAACTTTGTTTTGTTCAAGCAAACATTTGTCTTTGTTAACAATTCTAACAGTTTTCAAAGCTACATTTTAATTGGAACATTACAAAAGGACTTCACAAAAATCAAAACTCTATAGCACCAAATTAACATGCTTTAGATAACTGACAGCAGTTTACGGGTTTTGAAGAAAATTACACTAAAACAGACTATATAGAATAAACCGATACTTAGATACTTTAAGACCATTTTTAGACTACCAAGAAAATACAAAAACACAAGACTATATGGAATAGTGTTGAGGTTATAGGGCAGGGTCCCCACCCCCGCCCCCCGCCCAGGCTATATAAACCTGTTTCACTTCTGCTTGAAGTTTTGAGATCTTGAAAATTTTTTCAGGCAGCCTTTTTTTTTTCCCGATATTTCCTTTTTCCATAGTCTTTACCAACATCACAAACACCATTGACTTCTCCTGTATAGTAATAGACTGATTTCAGGATGACATTATCATGTAAAGTTTGTCCAATTTCAAAGTCCTCATCAAGAATAGCATCTTCTCGTGGTTCCAGCTTTCCAATCTTTGGAATTTCAAAAGGGCTAAAAAAGTTGAAAAATAACATATTAGGAACCACTCTAGGCTGGATTTCAATTTCTCCAGCAGCAGCTGTATGACTCTGGGTGGTTGTCACTGTAACATCCTTTCCTCTTCTCCAATCTATTTTACAGCCTTTGCAATTTTGGATTTCCCATTCCCCAAAGGAAAAGGGATCATCGTGATCTGGTTTTGACTTTATTATGTATGTCTTGGTCAGCACCTCATTTCTGAAGTATGGATTGGGCAGAAAATAAAATTCAAATGTGTAACTTACAGGCTGGCCAGGTTTTAAGAACTTCAGGCTAACATCTGATAAGAACTTCAGGATGGGCTCATCATATTTCTGAATCATGGGCCCCAGTTTGTCAACATTCTTTAAAACAGTCAGCCAGTATTCAGGGATGCCTTTAGGATCTTCGTTTTTAGGCTTTCCTTTTCGAGCTCTTTTCAGATTCACTCTTTCTTTAGGCCTGACCTCAGAAACTCTTTTAGGAGCCTCTTTTACTGCAGCTCTTGCCTTAACCTCTGTTGCTTTAGGTTGTTCTTCTTCTTCTGCCTTTCCCTGAGAGACTTCTTTAGGTTCTTTTACTTCAGGCTTTGCCTCCCTAAGATATTTAGACTCTGCTCTTTCTTCAAGCTTTGCCTCAGGAATTTCTTTAGGAACCTCATTTCCTTCAGCCTTTACCTCAGGTTTTTATTTAGGGTGGTCTTCTTCTCTCTCACCCTCTAAGGTAGGCATTTCAGTAAGCCTGTCTTCCTCTACCTCCTCATCACGGCTGAACACCTCATCCTCTGAATTCCATTCACATTCTTCTTCTGTAGGTTCATATTCTGCATTGATGATTTGAAACCGCCGATCATACAGAGGCTTATTGAGTTCGGCATATTTTCTTTCGAGATCGTGAATTGCCTTTAAGAATAGGGCGTCTACCTTGTCACATTCATCTTGAATATTTCTGAGCGCCTGCACACGATTTCGAACTGCCTTAGGCAGCCGATCTACGATATTTTTACCCGACGGAGCCCACCACGCCCTTCTGGAAGGCCCAGGTACCCTCTTCTTTCTATATGAGCGGCTGCAGCTACCGCTGCTGCTGCTGCAACTAGTGCTGCTACTAGAGCTACTGCTGTCAGATTCTTCCCCAGAATCACTAGACGAGCTAGCCATCATCTCATCAGCACCCCTCTGGGCGGCAGGTTCCGAGATCATGTTAAGATCCGCTTCTGCCATTTTGCAAGCCTGTGAACCTCTTAAGTTGGCGACTACCGCTGGGACCGCGCGACCAGAGATGGGCACAAAATGACTCACGGATGCGCGGGTGGCGGAGGCTCGGGATGAGGCGGTGGCAGCAGCAAAGACAGTGGTAGCGCAGGGCTGGGCGGGGCTGGGCTGCAGCGATCGCGCGGAGGTGGCGGTGGCAGTGGAGGCCTGGGTGAAAGCGCTGGCGACGGCCTGTCCCGGCTGCAGCTATGGCGGACAGAGGCCTGCCACAGCCGAATGGTGCAGTGTGAGACCCCAAGATCTCTCCACTGTTTAGATCGCAAGCCCCCTCCCTTTCCAGTTCCACCGCCCCTTAATTTAGTTCCCAGTGTGCCTTTAGCTCGCACCTCACTTGCTAGACAAGCTTGATTGACAATCACTAAGCCCAATGAATGACCAAATGCTACGCCCCCTCCAGGCTCCGCCCACCTTCCCAGACGCTCCTTGGTAGCTGAGGCACACACCCCTGGAAGACGTTTTATCCCCACAAAATTCTGTCTTTATAGTTTTATAATTTTTAGAAAAAGCTTAGATATGAGGTAAAATTACTAGCCATAGTTCCTGACAAGGGAAGAGGAGTATCCTCCCGTCCGCTCATCCTGAATTCCCGTTTGGTTTGTCAGGGGCCTCTTCACAAAAATCTGTTTTTAAAAAATTGGACGAAAATACTTCAAGTGGCATCATTGGGTAGTGTGATTAGGGATGATTATTTTTAAAATCTCTTTATCTAAATATTAGCATTTATTTTTACACTAAAAAAAGGGGGAGTCGTTTATTGGCAAAGGGGGGAGGGGCTAGAAAGCAGGCATATTGCATTCCACGTAGCAGTTTTAATAAGTGCTGTCTGTGATGTTTGACAAGCCTGCTTTATACCCATCTACAAGGTTTTCGAACCCATGTTGCCGTGAGTCAGTTACACCATTTTTACTATATTTCTCTTTTTAAACCGGCATATAATATACCCCAGCCTTGCTGCTGACTTGCCACGTAGCCTTTCTCAGTGCTTACAAGTAGATAAAATAAAACGGCATTAAAATGGTAGGTAGTATTATTTAAAAGCAGGAGGTTTGCTCTATACTTTTGTGCAGCCGTTTTCAATTCCAGGAACAGCAAGATGGGAGGGGGAATTTGTGCTAGTGAAAGTGCATCTTCTGTCAGGATATGCTTTACAATATCATCTGGCACCAATTTGCTTCAAGCACTGAAATTCTAGCCATACTAACGTATGATTTACAAGTCCATTAATATATAAATAAACTTTTACAATATGAAGTTTAAAAACAAGTATCTTATTTTTATTTACAGGATTCTTTTCTGCTACAGAACAACTCCCTTGGTACAACCAAAAAGACCAGTGTTTACTTTTCATTGAAAGGTAAGGAACATATTTAGCCCATTTTTATGAATGACAGGAATTACCTATCTGTATATGAATAAAAATTCATAGGATATAGTCTTTTAAAGACTTAATTTGAAGACATCTGATATTTCTATGGAAGCAGAAAAATCCACAGAGGTTATTTGACGTAGTACTATAGAAATAACCTGGTAATCACATTCACTCTCTCTAAAGCTACTCATACAATACAAGTAGTAAGTCAAAATATAATATGAATTATTCATTTTAAATGAGTAAAAATATGAAAGCTAGATTAACCTTTATGTTACTTTTTTATTATGGATTTGTGCTTTGTCATATTTTTTAAAAATTAGGAAACACCTTTATTTTGTATTTTGTAAATTTACTTTTATTGTTTATTTCTGATTGTCAAAGTATATAAGCATTGTAAAGAAAAAATACAACATAGAAAATTCAAATGATAGTAAAATACGTACTCTTTACAACCAAATAACTATTGTTAGCATTTTCATGCATTTCCTTCCAGAAATTTCTTTGTACATATACACATCTGCCTATTTATATATACCGTTTTATATATGTGATAAAATGTGATATTATGTTTTGTAATCTATCAATTAATGGTGGCTGTATTTTCATGGTAAATAATCAACATCTTATTTTTAAATAGATGCATATTCAATGGAAATATTTGCCTTAATTTATTTAACCAGATTCCTTTTGTAAGGCAGCTACTTCCGACACCATCTCTCCACTTTTTTTCCTGTTATAAAAAAATTAGCTCCGGGTATATACTATATGCACTCGTGAAAATTAGTCATAGAATGAATTCTTAGAAATGGCAGTGCTGGAATAAATTGTACACTCATTTTATTCTTTGATGCTTATTGCCAAACTTCCCTCCAGAAAATTTATCTCAATTTATAGTCCTACCAAGAATACATAGGAGCTCATTTATTTAGTCATTCAGCTAATATACTTTTGTGCCTGCCATGTGCCAGGCATATGTAGTATAGGATGACAGTAAAATGGGGAATAAAATTTACTGAGCATGTAAACTTTCATTTCATACGTTTACTTAAAACATATAATATGGAAACAGTGATTTAAATCAGTGGAGTTATGCTATAAATATTGTTCTGCAACTTATTATTTTTATTTAAAACAGGATTTTTTTTTAAATGAATGCTCATATTTTCATAGTACTTTAGTGGTTTAAAATGCATGTTAAATTTTGCACTATCAAGAATTAGTATTTTGGAGTAAGCAGTGAGTTAGGGAACCAGATTTTTAAAAGATACATATATTTTTTATTAGTTAGCTAATTTCCTTAGTACCATTTATCTGACAGTCTTTCTGTCTGACATTTATGTGAAATACCACTGTATCATAATAACTAAATTGCTTGGTTTTCTTTTTGAATTCTCTTTTCTGATTTGTTGACCATAATTTTTGACAAACAACTAATAAGGCAGTTTTTTATATAACTTTATATTCTGTGAAAATGACATACATTGAAAAAAGGTGAGGTAGTACATTGAAATCCAAATAAATTAAAAGTAACTCAAAATATACTGAGAAGTGAACACTATTCACATTTTTGATGAACATCTCCAAATTCATCTTATTATTATGTATTTGTAGTTTTTAGATTAATGTAAGATTATCTTTTCATATGTTTATTGTCCATTTGCAAATTTCCCATTCATATCTTTTGCTTGTTTTTTCCACTGAATTAAGAAAGAAATTAATTGGTGGTGAAATCTTAAAGGTAAAATACTTTTGCCTTGATTCGAGGCAACTGTGACTCTTTTAGAAATTACTTCTTTTCTGACTTATGATATTAGACAAATATGTGTTATAGCTTTCATTCTTAAATTACCTACTTAGATGGTTATTTAGATGCTTTTCAAGGTACGTAATCACTTAAACTGATACAGAAAAGTTTGGAGTAGAACAGGGAGACTAAAAAGAGAAAAAAGCTTGTAAAAACCTCATACAAAGATGATATAAATAAAGTATTCAGATTTTCAATTTGGAAGTGTTTTTTTTCCCAAGCTATAGATTATAGGTAAGTAACTTCTTCTAACCACAATGGTCTACTTTTTATGTGTATGCACTACCTTAAGAATGTAGTAACACAGTTTTATTTTTGTACCCTTTTTTCCTCTGTTAATTTTATAATGGCAAGTCCCTGAAAGAAAATATGTATATTCTTCATATAATTAATTTAAGTTATACATACTACTGTATATTTTCTACCATGAATATTTTAAATTAACTCTAGCATAGAATATACTTATTTTTATTCATAAGGCTATCTATAAGTTACTTGCATAATCATATATTCTCTGTTCTATTATTTTATGATATTTTGGGGGGTTAAATGTTCATATTTCTACATGAGATGATGCTTAACACAAAAGCATTGGTATACTCAGGCTAAACATGACTCATTGATATCTATTTATATTTTACCTGTTATGAACATATGCACAGTACCGCCCACCACCCCTGCCACACAAACACACCAACATAAATACACAGTGACAAGTGCTACAGCATTATATTTTGTTGTAGATATTTAAGAAGCCAAGCATTTCGAGTTCATTTATATTTGGATTTACTTTTATGTTATTCTTTTTTGTTTGTTTATCTAGACAGGTTTTATTTGAATATACAAATTAATTCTTTTTAAAAACAGTTTTATTGAAGCATCATAGGTACAACTGTCATCACCAATCAAGATAATGAAAATTTTCATCACCCCTGGAAGTTTCTTCATGCCCCTTTGTAATCCCTCCATTTATCCCAAGGCAACAACTGATCTGATCTCTGTTTCTATAGATTAGGCTGCATTTTCTAGAATGTTATATAAATGGAATCATGCAATATATCCCACTTTTTGCTTGTCTTCTTTCACTTAGCATAATTCTTTTGAGATGCATCCATGTCGTTGTATGCTTCAAGAGTCATTTTTCTGTTTTGTGACTGAGTAGTTATCAATTACTTAGATGTACCACAATTTGTTGATGAGCATTGGATATCAAGTTTTGGGCTACTACAAATAAAACTGCTATGTTCATTTGTAAGTCTTCGTATAGACATGTTTTCATTTCTTTTAGCAAAATACCTAGAGTGGAATGACTAGATTACATGGTATGTGCATATTTAACTATTTAAGTGGTTCTAAAGTGGTTGTATACAATTTTGCATTTCCACCAGGAGTGCCAACACTTGGTATGGTGAGTCTTTTTAAATGTAACCATTCTAATAGGTATGTAGTAGTATCTCATTGTGGTTTTACTTTGCATTTCCCTAATGACTAATGATGGTAAACATCTTTTTGTGTATTGATTTACCATCCATAATCTTTGACGAAGTGTCTATTCATGTTTTGTTTATTTTTCTCTTGGATTGTTGTCTTACAATTGAGTTTTGAGAATTTTTTTTATATACTCTGGATATAAGTCCTTTATCAAGTATAAACTCTGAAAATATTTTCTCCCAGTCTGAGGATTTTCTTTTCATCTTCTTTACAGTGCCTTTCACAGTTTTTCAAAGAGCAGAAGTTTGCAGTTTTGATGAAGTCCAATTTATATTTTTTTTTCTTTTATGGATCATGCTTTTGGTATCAAATCTAAGAAAACTTTGCCTAGTCCAAGATCACAAAGATATTCTTCTTTGTTTTTTTTAGAAGTTTTATACTTTTAAGTTTTACATTTAAATCTGATCTAGTTTTGTATATGGTACAAGATGCAGATTGAAATTATTTTTTTACATGTGGATAGCTAATTGTTCCAGCATCATTTGTTGAAAAGACTATCTCTACTGAATTATCTTTGCACCTTCATCAAAAATTGTCCATATATGTGTGGATGTGTGTTGGACTCTCTATTCTGTCCCATTGTGTACTGATTTTAATAACCTAATTGGTAAATATTTGTTAGATATATTTGGTAGGGAATAAGAACCAAATTATTGGATAACAGAATTTCATCACAGTAGAGACAGTTACTGCAGCTGGATCCTAGGCCTTTCATTTCTGCTCTCAAATATCAGAGAAAGGGGCAAATAATGGCAGTAATAACATAGAAAACAAATCAAAAAAGGAAACACAAATGTTCTATTTTGTGGAGAGGCCAGTGTGTGGCTATCTATAGCCCATCTACAGGAATGGTAGCTAGCACTTTTCAGGAGTACAACTAATGCCTTTGTTTTTCTCATCTATGATGAGAGAGAACTGTTTGTAAATAGAAAGTATTTTTTATTAATAAATAATGGTTAAAAAAAGGAATAGTAACAAAAAATGGTTATTATTTCACACTGGTTTTCAAAGCAAAATCATCTTATTCCATACTCATTCCCAAAATAAGGATATACACAAATAACTAGAATATGGTATATAGCTATAGCATTTGATTTTTAAAGGAAATATTTGTGAGTGAATATTTTTGGCACTATAGCCTTAACTGCACGGAGTTTAAAAGGGCAGTTATAGTTAATGCAATGGCAGAGAAGGAAAATCAGTTTGGATATTTGTTTCAATGCTAGTTTTCAACTTAAAAATAGCATGCATTTTCCAAAAATGTAAATCGACATCACAGAACACTTTTATAAGGGCCCTCACAAATCTTTTGCTCATAGTACTCATTTGAAGAATTCTCACATTAAAATTAAAATAAAGGAAACCTTTTTTATTGCAAGTTTAGAAGCATTTTATTTAATTCTACTAAAAAGTGAGGAAGTATTCAAAGGATTTGAGTGGTAAGCAATGCCCATGCGTGTATATATGGTAACTATTTCTAAATTTTGCATTATATGTGGGTAATGTAGAGCAAGTCCGAATTGACAATTTCTATACTTTTCATCGAGAATACTCAAATATATTTAATTAATTTGATTAAGTATATCCTCTGAGGAAAAATGAGTCTTACAGTACTGCAAATATTCCTGCTAGTGGGAACAAATACATGTTCCACAACTCTTCAGAGATGATGGTCGTTTTTGTATTA